AAAAGTCGTCCTGTATTTCGAGTTCGACTCAAAAACTTCGACTTGAAGTTCGAGTCAAACGAGAGAACCTCCATGTCTCGAACTCGAATATGAGAAATTGCTTTTCCGTCTTGTCGGAACAAAGCACCAGGCAGGGCTGGGTTAAATCTGCGACGTTGCCGATACGACCCCCATCCGCCGTCCACCCGGCCCACGGCGCGCCGGGAAGTGCGTTCCTCGTCTATTTTGAATGTGTTATTGGTGGTGGACTGACGTTTGTTTCGAATTTCTTACCGCAATCACGGAATTGAAATGGGGTAGCGTATCCGGATCCATGTCCAGGTTAGTGTATCAATCTCCACTAGCTCCACTACTGTGTTCTCATTTTGAGAATTACTGATTTTTATTATTTTATCAGGCTTCGACGTTTTCCATACGAACTTTTAGATTACCCGGCATTTCACTGCTCTAGAGAAGATTATTATGTATTACATGAATGACGTTGAAGGTGAAAATTTCTAGGTGTGGCATGGGCCTGTTCGCCTTCATGTTTACAGAACGTTTACATCCCTAAGTCAAAGCTGAGTTTGACTTCTTCTTTGTACAGTGGCTCAGCCACTTAAAGTGCCACATTTCTGTACAAGTTGTGATTGACACGCCATGGAAGCATTGAGGGTTTCTGTTGGATATATAACGCTGTGTAAGTATTGGGTACCTGTAGAATCGTCTGGATTGCATTAGATATTTTAATAATAACTTAAACTTCCGGTTTACCAACTAATACTCTTTTTCGTCCTGTTTCCTCTAATACATTGTTTGTTGTAATTTTTACAGGTTGAGCGTTCAACTTCAGAGGCTTACCATTTTCAATTGAAGCGGGGCTGCCAAGAATTGCCCTAGGAGAGCACCAGGGAATTTATTATGTAGTCTGTCATTGAGTATACAAATGCACCAAAACCATTTATATACTGTTAAGATAAAGATCAGATTGCACAGCCAATGTGCCTTGTTTCTCTCTTACTTGAGTACTGTTATTTGTGTGATGTAAATCAAAGAACATAAAATTCATGAGCAATTGAAATTGTTATTTCCATGCAAATTTTATGTCACAAGGGAAGTAATTGCAGATGACTTGACCTTGTGATAGTTTTAATACTGCAGAACAAATTGTCAGAAACAGAAAAGTCCACTCAGAACCTAAGCAGATTGTGAAGTTGTCTCAATTATTAAGAAAAATTAGTCAAAAATGACTTTTTATGCTGTTCAAAGTTATAACTCTTCCTCCTGGGAAGGTACATGGCACACTTAACAAAATATATTTAAGGAGGGTTGGGACAAAATTTGGTTGGTTCGAGGGCTCCAAAACCATGTTTGCTGTAGGGATATAGTGAAAGCGGGACTGTGAACAAGGTATAGCATTTAATGATTGGTCTATTGTGGCAATTTTCCAGGCCTAAAAAGAATACTAACTCAAGAGTCACCCTGAACAACAATGCTTGGAAAGTGTTATTACAACACAGTAAAAAATTTGCCCCCAACATTTCTCAGTTATGGTTTGCACTAAAATGCTGAAACGTTTTTGTAAGTTAGTCATATGAATACCTAAAACTTGTCACAGGATTTTCTTGATATTGTCACTTGCTGATTTTTAAAAGAAGTTAAAGTTTCATGACCAAAATTATGCCGTTTTAAACCCTAAAAGATTTGCTTCAAAATCAATGGGTAGGAATTTTGAAAACAATCATGTGACAAGTTGTTGAAAATACTATAAAAATAAGGAGTGCAAAGTTTCATAGCTGTGGCGTTAAGGGTGGAGGAGAACCTTTGCACACAAGGTTGAAAATTACAGTTCCAAAGAAAACTCATCTTAAGTTAATGTTAATAAGCAATTTCGGGTTTGAATAATCACAAGAAAAAATCCCACGATCACAATTTTTTGTATTTCTTAACAAAGTAAACAGCCACAAACTCAGGAAGGGTCACAGATAATTTTTTAGATAACAAAACCGAAAATATTTTATTTTTTTTGTCCTGACCCCTCTTAATCATGCGCCAACACTCATGTTTGGTTAGATGTGCTTTGCTATGCAAACAACTTACAAATGGAGTGAATAGCTCACACATATTTATCACAATATTTACAGATTTGATTCCTAGTGTTTGCAGCACCAAGTAGAAAAATCTAAGCACAATTGAACGATGCAGTACATCTAGAATGGCCATAAATTTTTGAAAACATTCTCTTTTTGGCTGGGCTAGTAAGGGCTCAGGCAATAACATTTTGATTAGTAAATCAAAAACAATAGGAGAGCATTGAGGGACTTCAAGAAATGACCAAAGAGCTGGATCTTGTTGGTTTCCTTACCAAGTTGGCAGGCCAGATGAGACAACTGAAGACTGCGGGTCACTGTAAGGTCAGCGTGGTCAAAGATCCAGACTTGGAACCTTGACAAGCAGATCTGCAAACAATTACAATGGAAAGTTAGCTAAAAAGTACAACATTTGTAAAGAGAATAGATTTACGGTCGAAAGAAAGCTTACCTTGCTTAAACTCCTTTCATGGAAATTCAACCGAAGAATGGAGTCAAAGATCCCCGGTGGTTGGCGAAGACATCCTGTAAGCAAAGAAACACCAAGGATGAACACGTAAATTGAACGGCAGGGCAGACAAATTTAAATACTCACACTAAAACTCAAGTATGTGCCCTTGGCTGCTCAATTCTGGGGTCTGGCAGATTCTGAAGTGGTTTAATTATCAGCGATAGTTGTAAAAAAACCCACTGAAATCCCTATTTTAGGCGTTTAGCAAGAAATCATATGCTCTTTGCTGGCAATAGAAACGTAACTTATCTTATTCCTGATCTGGAGTGATAAGTAATTCAACCTTTCAGAGGCAATTTGAAGCATATAATTTCTTCCCAGGTGAGACCACGGGGAGGAGCAAGACATTAAAGCATTTGCTCCAATATTTTGCCATGACGCCAACGACAGGAAACTACAGCGGCACCAAATCAGATTTGAGGGTCGGCAAGGAAAAATTCAATGATATACTATAATATGATAAAACATTATAGTGCAATAAGTAATCTGGATAAAACTAAAAATCATTTTAACTCTAAATTGACACTAATTACAAATTGGTGCTGCTGTAGCTAGAATCCCTCTCAAAAGCTACTTGCATTTCAAGAGTGATTCACATCAATTTCGATGCCTGCCGTTCTCACCCATCTGTAAAGAGAATTGAAAAAAAAAAATAGAAGCATAATTAAGACCACAACCCACACCACACAAACCAATCACATAGACCACACGAAACATGAAACACACATGAACCACACACAACATGAACCACACCCCACCCCATACACTAATCACATGCTGCTGCGTCCTGCTGCTGCGTCCTGCTGCTGCGTCCTGCTGCTGCGTCCTGCTGCCGCGTCCGGACCCGCGAGCGCTTCAAAAGAAAACGTTGGATAAATAGAAAGGCCAAACTGGGTGTACACTATACAGATATACTACCTTGGTGTTCGACGGGGAAGTCCCACGACGGTGGTGAGCACCGCGTCCTGGCGCCTCCTGGCGAGCCCGCGCCTCGCCGCGCCCGGCTGTGCCCCTCCGTCCCGCTAGCCTCCGCCGCAGGATGGCTCACCCAACACTTTCGCCCGCGGATCTGCAGCTCGGAGGGAGAGGTCTCGATGCGACCCCCTCGCTCTGCGCGCGGCAGGGCCTCCCCT